GTTTGAGAACTTTGAGTAAATAACAATCTCAACTAAAATGTACAGAAAAATGACCAGGTTCGTAAAAGTGAAATTAAGTTGATTGCAGTTTGCCATGGATTAACTAATGAGAACTCGATGACAGCATGCGATTTTTTGGCATGGTTAACTCCATAGAACGCACGAACGCCTGGAGCAAGTGCATCAGCTCGTGACATCCCTGAGCTTCGAATTGTTCCCTTAAGTGTTACATGCTGAAGAAGCTAGCAGCTCTCGAAAAGGAAATGAGTTTGAAGCACAGTGAAAGTTATCAGAGACCTTCTTGTTCGAAGTTCACTCTGGCATCCAGTGGTGCATTATTTTGTAACAGCAAACAGTCCACCACATGCAATTGGTGGTACTGGATGCTAGAACGGAACAAGATTTGAAGCCTTCTCAGTGCCTAACTGTGTGATACTTGCCAAAAAGTCAGGAAGATCGTATGAACTGTTGTGAAAAGTTCTCGGGCTGTACCGGAGAAATCCAAAAGAGAATTAAAAAATGTACTGCGTGCAAACATCATGAGGTTGAGTGAAGGATACGTAAGTAGTTTACGGAAGTAAAAGGCGAGTTGAGCACTACCGACCGATTTTCACACGATTGACGAGAAAGATGGATTTGCTCAGGTCATGATGAATGTGGAGTCGTTGCTAGAGGATTCAGGGCAAAGAGCTGGGATAAACATTATTTTGATTCAAGGGGAACACACTTGTCACTGTTAAGCGCAAATGGTATGCTACCCAAACCGAGTAACACTAATATTGGTGTGGGCATTTAGGGAAATAGTTTTCACGAGGCTTCCCGACTAACCTCAGGACGTGTCCATTCTAGCGATTACTGCCATGATATCAGTAAAGTGGCTTCAAGATCACACAGGAACGAACTACCAACAAATTCAGACCCTACCAAAAAAAACACAATTGAGAAGCCTGCATTTCCATAGCAATTTGTAAAGTGTTGAAGATTCAAAAGGCGATTGAAAGGTTATGGGCGAGGCAGAGATTGCTGCCCCGGATTCGTGCTGCTATGGCGTCGTGGGTGTGTGAACGCGCCAAGTGTCTTACGTTCAGAAACTCCAAAACCTACCAATTATTCCGGCTAGACATAGGACCGGGTGTCTCATCGAATTACTGCTGGATTCAAAAATCAGGCTTTTTGTAAAGTAACAATGATGGTTTATAAAAAATTGAACGAAAAACAGGACGTAAAGAAAAAGACTTCCCTCAATTGGAACACTCCAAATGAATAACGTAAAGAACATTGGTCGTCTCAAGTGAGTGTTTTTGTTGTTTTCGCAATCTTAATTGTCGGATGTTTTTTTCTGTTCACGCCAATTATTGAACCAAGCAAAAGCTTTACGCAAGCTGTCGACTGTGCTGGCCGCCAGTTGAGGACAGGAAGGATATAAAGTTTGATAGGCCACTGTTTGAGAACTTTGAGTAAATAACAATCTCAACTAAAATGTACAGAAAAATGACCAGGTTCGTAAAAGTGAAATTAAGTTGATTGCAGTTTGCCATGGATTAACTAATGAGAACTCGATGACAGCATGCGATTTTTTGGCATGGTTTAATTCGATTGAATCGCACGAACGCCTGGAGCAAGTGCATCAGCTCGTGACATCCCTGAGTTTGAATTGTTCCCTTAAGTGTTACAGGATGAACAAGGGGAATACACTTGTCACTGTTAAGCGCAAATGGTATGCTACCCAAAACGAGTAACACTAATGTTGATGTGGGCATTTGGGGAAATGGTTATCACGAGGCTTCCCTACTAACCTCAGGACACGTCCATTCTAGATATTACTGCCATGATATCAGTATGGCGGCTCCAAGATCACACAGGAACGAACTACCAAAAAATTCGGAACCTACCAAAAAAAACACAATTTAGAAGCCTGCATTTCCATAGCAATTTGTAAAGTGTTGAAGATTCAAAAAGCGATTGAAAGTTTATGGGCGAGGGAGAGATTGCTGCCCCGTTTCGTGCTGCTATGGCGTCGTGGCTGTGTGAACGCGCGAAGTGACATACGTTCAGAAACTCCGAAACCTACCAATTATTCCGGCTAGACATAGGACCGGGTGTCTACATGGCGGCCTTTTTGACTCATAGGAACTCTGTGACATCTGCTGGGAAAAACGGGTAGGGTAAACACCGTGCACGTCAGAAGATGAAGAAAATCAAGCTGACCAGAAGCGAAGCGTACTCATGAGCTTGCAGAACAGTTTTTGCGGGAACCGCAACAGAAATCAAAAGTGGTAACAGCAGGGTATCAGGCCTTCTACCCTGCTGTTGACCTAGGCTGTATAAGCCAAAAAGTTAAGACAGAGCCTGCAACTCTGTCCAGATGCTCTGAGGAGGCCTCGATGACAGTGAGGAAACAAACGAGAATTATGACGCTCCGGAAGACGACGTCTTAGAGCGATGTTGAGCAGACGACGGAGGAAGATGTGAAGATAAAACTGGAATGCAAAGAAAAATTTGACTGGTCTTTGTGTGTTGAAAATTGTTGAATCAAGCTAACAAAGCCAGCCTGGATATTATACTATAATTTTTGTACTTTGTTTTGATTCTGGACAAATTTTAGTTACAATGGAAATTTTTCTTGGCAATACTTTTTTCTACACCGGTAAATAAAATAGTGCAAATATTTAATAACCTGAGTGGATTTTATAAATCTACGTATGACAAATTATCGCTTTCTGGCATACTGATGGGTTCTGCGTACGCTCACTAGAGATTATGGTTGGGTTCTTCAGTGCCTATCCTAGCATTAGAATTTACCATTTTTAATATTTGGTGCATTGATTTGTATAAGAGATAATAATTGGTTAATAACCCTAAGTTAATTTTGATTGGTGCTTGGCACTGTACACATTCCAAAACTTTTTATAGCAGGGGCAAAAAAAATATATTATAAGGATTCCATAAGTAGTCAGAAAAAATTATTTTAGGAAGGCAGTGAAAACCCAGTATGAAGCTATTTGACTTAGGTGGAGAAGAAAATTTTAATTTCTGAAATGATTTGCAAAATTTTGTAGATCGAAATTGGGTCACTGTTTTTGACAAAAAACAGGAGTTTTTTAAGAAGATAATATTCGGAAAGAAAAGACAACAGTTGGATACTAGAGGATAAATTGTAGATGAAGAATTATCGAAAACTAAGAAGCTTTCTGACAGGTAGTATTCGTACGACACGAGTAATTTTGCCTGAAATGAGTGGGACCCGGATTGTTCAGTGGCAGATTCTGGATCGACCCGAACCCTCTCGAATCTGTAAATTGGGAGGATAACAAGGTTACCCAGCGGGGATTATGGAATTGAAGTTGTCTTTTACTTTTATATCATTTTTTAAAAATCTTTTTTGCTATTAAAATGCTCTCAAAGACTGAATTAATGTCCAAGCCAAATGTTTCTTTCGAGCTTGAGTAGTTGCGTGCGAGGAAAGGGTCATTCCATCTGTTTTGAATCCGATATGTAACCGTTCTCAGAAATAACTAAAATAACAGTTTTTAGCCCCGTTTTTAGCTCTAATCACGTTGTTTTTTTGGGCGGGGAATTTGAGAGCCAGCTATTTGGCTATATTTTACTATAGTGGAAATTTAAGTAAGATTCGTTTGACTGATGACATAAAGCTAAACTGTAACACAATCTTTAACCCTTAGACAGACTCAAATTCATCTGGCTAGCTCCAGACGATGAAAAATATGTGATTTTAAGGAATCTGACGTTAGCCAGTTGTCAATAGGGGTTTTCCGTCGCGGTTAAATTTCTGTGCGAACATTAAAGATCAAAATTTTTCCAACTAGTACTTCAGGTCTGAAAAATCGAAGTGATTTTGTTGTTTTGAGAGACTTTTTGGCTTTATGAAGTCCTCCCTGACGTCCTCTGATTATACGAAAAACTTTTAACGGTTTTTTGTTCAGCTGTACTCTAAACAACAGTTTCATCTATCTTGTGTCAAAGTTCCGACTGTGTAATAATTTTAGAAAAATCGGCAAAAACTTGAAAAAATTTTCGTTCTTTTTATCGCTTCAAAACCAAAATTTGCAACCTGCAAATTTATCTGCAATCGTTCTTTTTAGGGAGAATTCGTGGGTTTGAAAATTGCCAAGTTTGGAATTTTTCATGCACGCTTTTCCGAGTTTCTCTGTGATGATCAACGCATGTTAGTTGAGCTCTGTAAATTGCTCCGGTCTCAAAATCACCTAATTAAATAAAGGCATGGGGTGATTTGTTATAATAATGCCCTATACCGCAAAACTGATGTCAAAATTATGGGAGTTGGCGTTAGGGAAGGAAAACAAATTTCTTAGGGAAGCAGATTTTCCTTGCCAAAAACTATTGGTGAGCAGTTAAAGGACAGTGGGAAAATATAAAATTTTGCCCTGATACTAGCTGTCTTGTTTTCATCTGATCTTACTTGATCCACTTCAGTCTCCCTCTCTTATCATATGCATATTAATCGATACCAGGGTTAGATTTTAATGAGGGAATTGGATCGGACCTCACTTTCCCAAGGGATTCGACCCCTGCTGACCCTAAATTCGCCCCTTTGTACTATTTTGAGATATACATTTTTTAGTGATGGACTCAAAAAATTTTCTGAAGGTGCTTTCGGCGCCAATATAAACTAATTTTAATGGGCGCAAAGTTTGGTCAAAACAGGGTCTTTTTAGTGCTTTGGGCGAACTGGTTGGCTCAAATAAAAGTCGACCAAACTTTGGAAAATCCGTCCCCCCTCGAGAAATCCTATAAACACCCCTGTTCGATACATAAATTTTCGGTTCTTCTTTCATTCAGCTAAGTTTACTCTAAATAAAAAAACTTTTTTTAAACCCAAATTCTCTGGATTTTATAAACTTACTATTATGACTGATTTTCGAGCAATAAAGAAAAAAAGGTTCAACTGTATGTTTCAAGGTTTTATCGATTTGGATTTAAAATAATGTTCACTAAAAAAGATAAGGAAACTGATTCACCTGTTCGCAAAGTACGCAGAAAACCGTCTTCCACAAGAACTCTCGGATATGATGAACTGTCTGATCTCCTCCAGAAATAGAGTGAAACACCAGTACATTAACACTATTTCCTCCCACCCCGGATATTTCCTCAAACCTTGATTGGAAAGTAATTACCGTTTAATTATAATAATTTGTGTTCAGATAAAGCAGAAGGCTCGAACACATCTCAATTTTTGAAATTTATTTTTTGGCGGTCATTTTGTTTTCAAAAAAAAACTCTAATAATTGATTTTTTTTTCGGTTTGACTTATTATCAACCGTGCTTAACGTATGCATTACTCTTTTTGGTCACACTTTTTGATCGACCTGAATAATTTGAGATGCAAATCAGACGTTGATCAATACGTAATTCCAGCACCTGATCTAGGATTGCACTACTGCAATATGGAATGAAGCTCACAAACTACTGGATCATGAATTACATTATTCAAGTTCAATATAACTCGCTTCCATAAATTTACTCACCTTTCACGGTTACGACACTGAACAGTGCCAAAAACAGCAGCATTGAGATAATATTCAAGTTGAAAGTGACAATGGGGGCTGAATAGAAGCGCATGATCTTTGTACGGCGCATCCATTCACAGAAAGTGACCTTAGGATCACTAACGATGTTCTCGCTAACCTCTTGCTCGAAGCAGGGACTCCAGTTAATCTCGGGAGTTTATAGGTTAAACCGAAACAAAAAACGAAACGTGTTTCTTACAATCTGTTGGCTCTCGACAAATTGGTTAATGGCAAATCGTGACTAGATGATGAATAAAAGAACTAGAAACCAAAAACGTTTTTCTGAAATTATTTCCCAATGCTTATCGAAACAGAACTGGGAAAGTTTCCAATCTTTTGACACCATCTAATTTACGATGTTAAGGCGCTCTGAAAAAGGTGACTGACCCGTTGAGTCAAGGAAACACTTTTTGATTTGTAAGGTTTTCAGAAACGATAAATAAATCAAAAAAGTAGTCGATTTTTTCTTTTCAAATAATTGAAGGATATCCATCTTATTTCAAAACCCCGATATATAGGTCCAGATGGACCAAAAAGGCTAATCATACAGTTATCATACAGAGAAAAATGCTACTATTAAAAATTTTTTCATGCAATTCCATGGAAGAGAAAATTGCATGAAAGGCCTATGGTCAGTGATTTTTCACAAATAGAAATTGTATTAACAAAAAAAAATTAAGAATTTAGTATCTCAAAACTTTTGGGGTGTGTTCGTTATTGAACAGAGGTGACAAAAACCATGGTTTGTTCAAAACTATAATACCCAAAGATTTGACCGTCTTTTAGTTACAATGCATTGGAAACAACCTGACTTGTATAAGAGTTTTCTTTCATTCTGTTTTCATATACTGAAAGATTCAAACTTTTAATTTCTGGCAAAATTTTTCATGGATATTTTTTTCAGTTTGAGTTTTTTAATTATCAGAAATTGATCAAGGCATATATAAACATGCTATACAAAAAAAAGTTTTTAGCGTCGAAAAAAATTTAGAGATATCGAAAAAAATGCCATTATCATGTATCTAGGTCTACGCTATACCCACAAACAACTAAAATTTGAATGCGTAATTTTTTTTAGTTTGGAAAATGTTCTTTTGAGTACAAAATTCGATTTTAAAAGAAAATTTGAAATAACTTGGAAATAAATATGGAAATTGTATGATATATTTTTAATAGGTTGATTATGAGGCCAATTTATGCACTAGATAAGCGCACATTTTGGAGCGCGTAGGTCTGTGGAATCCAGAGACATGTCTTTAAACATGTTTGAACAATCAAAGAAAACGAAAGAACAAAGGGAGCGTCCTTGTTGCGGAATCCACCTTTTTTCGCAAAACACTTGTCTCGTAATGAAAAGTGTGATTTTTATGTTAAAAAATGCATACTTTGCAGTCAACCAATTTTAAAATTATTTATACAAAATTAGAGAAATTTTTTCGATTCTCAAATGTTGTTGGTCTTCATAAGACTTGTTGACCTTTAATTTAAATCGCCCAACATTAAGGCAAGTAGCTTTAACCTAATATTAGGTTCACTAAAAGAGCCAAAATTGACAAACCAGAGCTAAATTTTTTGGGTATAATTTTGAACCCCAGTTTTGCTAAATAAATTAAGCCCTTAAAACTTTAGTAAGAATCTTTTCATCAGTTTTTTCAAAAACCGACATAAAATCAGAAGAAATAGATTTTAATATTTCTTATTTGTTTAATTTGTCCGGAAAACAAGAATGATCAGCACGGATTAATTTCTGAATCAAATCTAGTTTTTTTTGTATTAAATTTGTGCTTTTTGTGAATCACTTGAAGTTTTTCTTATCTATCTGGTATTAAGTGCGCAAGTCAATACATGCTGCCGCCCCCTCCTCAACGATTCCACTGTTCGTTGAGGAGTTCACTGATCTCTCCTTTGGTGCAATTTTTCGATATTCCTTTTTGGCCGACCGACTCTGAATTTTTTCTAAGGACGCATGCATTGGGCGCCGATTTAAACTACTTTTCAGTAGGAAAAAAACGCAGAAAATTCGTTGTTTGTTTGTTTTTTTTCAAAAGTTTTTGAAAGTCCGCTCCACCCTCCAGAAATTCAAAGATCTGCGCCTTAGCAACGGCTAACTTGCTCGTTTTTTCAACAATTATAATTTGAAATATTTCAGACTCACTGAAATAACTTGGAGCCAAACTTTCGAAACACCTGAAGCCCCTGCCTTCAACGGAAATGTTTTGCGAGGCCTCCTTATTAAGGTTTCTCTTTCGTCGTCATCATCGTCAAACTTTATCGAAGAAAGAAAGGGAAGAAAAAAAAATGGAAGAATTGTTAGCAGCCAAATTTTCAGATATTCATTTTTTCCAGGCCTCTTGTAGAGGTTTCCCCACCAAATGTGTTGTAATAGCTTTTGACAACCACTCTGAGCAATGAATTCTCTGCAATTAGCCTGAATCGCTAGGTCAATACATGTTTTAGATCCCCAAGACTCGTGCACGACTGTTAAAAGCTTTTGACAACTTTCGGTGCTGTTGACAAAGCATGAATTCAAAACTCCTTTGGCTTGAAATTCGTATTTTTTGTTCATATTGTGAACTTTAGCTTGCAGATTTCTGTCACCTCGAACCGTCACAGACTCTCCCAGTATTTTTTCAGAAATTAAAACCGCAAAAAGCGCAGATGAGATTTTGCATGACAGGTTTTCCCAGAAATATTCGCTTGCTTCCAGCCGAATGAACAATAGCGAATAAACGAACAATTCACGTTTTGGATTTAGGAAGGTTTTCAAGTCATCTTTAGTTGAAGCTGGTTCCGCATATTGAGGTTTGTATTCGATACTGAACATTGCCGATTGAATATCATCCAAAGATACTGGATCATTGGGCCCTTTTCCTTTTTTTCTTTTCAAAATGTCGTGAAGAAAACTTTCGGCCGAGAGCTCCAAACTGCTTTTATAGATCTCTTCAAGTTTTTTCTTCGTCAGAAATTTTTTCAAATCTAGTATCTCTGCGAATATTTTGATAAATTCGAGTTTGTTTTCAATAAGAGATTTGGTCAGTAACTGTTTTTTGACTTCCATGTTGATACTGTTTTTGCTGTTTCTCACAATTTGGTCTGCCACGTCGGGTCTGTTTCAGTGAATAGATATCATGAGCTGGTTATTAACGTGCAACTTTCCCAAATCATCAAGAATCGTTTGAAGAATTGCTTTATCCAATGAGTCTCCTGTTGGAAGAAAACAAGAAAAACAGTTTAAAAAGTTATTCTCAGAAATTATTCATGCTTTTCTGAATTAATTTTTCAGTTTTTTCTTTCAATTTTTCAGTTTTTGGATGGAACGCAAGTTGAAAAACCAGAATGTAAGGCTATATCTTTACCCGTAGCGTAAAGGAATAGGATGGTGGAGGTGGGGGGAGGGGGCGATTCAGAGAAGGGCGAAAATCAGGTATACAATTTAGTGCCAGACAGGGGTTTCATCGAATCATTCATCCTTCACCGATCCAGCCTATGATTCATCCATGTACCAACTTTCGATCTATACATTGTTTAACAAGCGTTTCAATTTCACATTTTCCAGATGTCTTTGTTGACAGGTTAAAACGCCGACATGTTTATGTTAACACGTTCCGTATGTTTTCTGAATTCGAATATTTAGAACATTCTACACGAGTTTTCATGTTGCTCTTTTCATCCAAACGAACCAGAACACTTTTGATTCATCCATACAAAGAATTTTTTATCGTAGCAACCCTGTAGCGGACGAACGTTTTTAAGGACAAAATGGATTTTCACCATACATCTGTAGCAACCTGATGAGCTTATCTGGGGTGACTTTCTCATAGAGTAATTTCGGGTAAGCCTGTTCATCACGCTATCTTGTTTTCGACCGGATAGGTTCGTGCAACTTCTTAGTCAATAACCCATCCTAATCATGCTCTTATATCTTCTAGTCTGAATAGATCCAGTGTATACTGGTATTTTTGCGAGATTTAGAATTGAGAACGAAACTTAGAGAGAGCAACTGTTTGCCAAGTTAAATTTATTCTTCTCTGACTGAAACTATAAATGGTTTCAGCCTTGGAAATTATTGTAAGTTTTATTCATGGATCGTGATTGGTTTGTTCTAAGTATTTAGGGAAGTAATAATCAAGATTATAATAAGATATAATAAATAATTGTTTTGAGCTGGCTCCACCCATCCAGGAATCAGAGAGTTCAAAAATTGTAAAGATGGTTGGAAAAAATTCTTTCTTTTTTCTTTGAGTAGATTTCTTATAGTGGATAGAGAAGAGAAACAGTTAATTGTGTTTTGAACGAGTTGTCTTCATAGAGAGAGAAGAAAAACAGTTGCTTGTGAATAGAGAGAAGATTGCCCATATCGTAGCTGAGTTGAGAAATCCAGTCAAGGTTGCAGAATAGTATAGTGATGTGTTGACTTCGCGAGACTTTGTTCCTTCTCAACTATCTATCGAATCGTGAGATACTGCTTGACTTCCCACTGTGACTAGAATCCGTATGTCTGAGTTCAAAATCGAGTTAACCAACGTTCTTGTTCAATGAGTACCTTTGCTGCAATATTGACTCCATACTTTGTATCCTGTGAGGGTTATGACTACGGCAGCAAACCATTAGATTTGCCCTTCCAGAGTCGAAAAATTGTTTCATCTCCTTTTGCTGCTCGTTCCTTTTGTTCTGAGAAATTTTCTACACTTTTTTAATATCTGCACCTTGTTACTGAAGTCAGTTTTAGTTGTGATTTTTGTTAATTGTTTTCGCAAAAACGGTTTTATTAGTTTGGTTATTTCAAAAAATTGCTCACAGTAGAGCAACTCTTAGTAAAAATTTGATGGTCGGGGTCTTAGCACATGGCGAGCACTTGTACTTCGAGCGACGTCATTCTGGTGGGTGAGGCCAGAGGAGTGTGTACTCTTACCATCTCTTTGAGCAGAATCTCTTTTCGTGTTAAAATTTTTTTTAACAGGTGTTTCCTCTTTTGTTTTTTGCTTCTGTTCGTTTTTCAAAATCGGGTTGTTCTTCGTTCTTATAGTTTTTTTAATGTGTTTTCACGTTTCA